CATTGTATCCTAACGATATCCCTTCCCGCCTTTTCAACCCACCTCCGATGCCCCAGTACAGCTACCGTCCTTTCCTCTCTATTCCATGCCTCAAACATCTCCCTGTACGTTCCATCTAATTTTCCCAGCTCAGTCACGTACACTTCCCTCTCCTTCTTGTACCACGGACATTCCGCGACTACATGAACACGGTCTTCGCATTCGAAGCCGCAATCACATTTGAACTCGTCGTCTTCCTCGTCTACCGTCCTATGTCTTCGTCGACGTTCTCGAAGGCCTATGTCCCCGGTCCTGAATTTGACCTTAAGCTTTGTTCCTGCATCCATTGGTCCATGTAGGTAGTCCTTGAACCCTATTCCTTCCTTCAACATTCCGTACACTTCTAGACCCTCCTTATCCTTGGATTCTTTCCTCAGATTCTGTTCTTCTCTCTCGGCACAAGCAACAGATATCTTCTCCTTGAACCCCTGTAGACCCTCCGTTTCCAGCGTTTCATCTTCGTCGATGTCGAGCCCCTTCCATACGTCCTCTACAACCTTGACCCATTCCGTGGGTTGTCTACCCCTCTTTTTGTTTGCCCACTTCGCCTCCCATACAATTCTCGGCAACCTCTCCTCTCCCATCCCGCACATGCGATACTGCCAGGTCAGCTTCCTCGCGTCTCTTCCCGACCGTAGGGATTGGATCCCCAATTCTGCCCTCACGGCTGCATTACTTGTGCGCCTGGAGCATCCTAGGATGGTTTTCGCTGCTTTCATCTGCGCCGCCTCGAGTTCTTTCACTACCTTCTTATTTCCTTCCCATACTTCTCCGGCGTACTCTAGCGGCGGTACGATTACGCTCTTCAAAACCGTCAATTTGATGCGTGTATCGAGGTGCCGGTTTGCGAGTATTGGGTGCAGCTTCCCTGCTCGTGCTTTGCCCTTTTCCGCTACCTTGGACATGTGTGCATTCCACGAGCAGTCTTTTGCGATCTCTACTCCGAGGTATGTGTACTGGTCCACTACTGCAATCTCCTCGATCCCCCACTTCCATCTATGTTCTACTGGTTCCTCCTTGTTCTCGTTGCATACCATGACGGCACTCTTCTGAACGTTGGCAGACAATCTCCACTTATCAGTAAACTTCTTCGCCGCGTCAATTTGCAGTTGCAGTCCCTCAGGGGTGTCCGACATACCGACAAAATCATCCGCAAACAGCATTCCTGAAACCGACGTTTCCGTGTCCCCTACTTTTACTCCCTTCCGGACTGCCTCTACGACTTCCAACAGATCGTTGATGAACACCTGGAACAATGTTGGGGACAGCGTGCAACCTTGTGGGACCCCCTGCTCAATGTCGAAGAATTTTGACAGTTCTCCGTCTAGCATGACCGCGCTTTTCGTACACTCTGTCATCTTCTTCAGCACTCTCCACATTTTCCCCTTGATCCCGTATTTGGACAGTTGTTTCCACAACCCATTTCTCCACACGGTGTCGTATGCCTTTTTCACGTCCAGGAAGAAGCAGTACGTCGGCTTTCCCGCCCTCTTTCTACCTTGGATGATTCTCCCTACCGTGAACACGTGGTCTACGCACCCCCTCTTCTTGCGGAAACCTGCCTGGCCCTCACTAATGCTATGTTCCTTCTCCAATACTCCCACTATCCTATCGTTCAGCAGCTTACAGAACACTTTTCCTACTGTGTTCAAAAGTGTGATCCCCCTGTAGTTTCCTGGGTCAGTCTTGTCTCCTTTCATAAACAAGTTCACAACCACTCCTTCCCTCCATCTACTTGGCGTATAGGGGGGGGGGGGGTATCGCTATTGGAAAACTTCCATGAAGGAGGGGGCACACGGAGGAGATTATGTATGTTGTGTCGGCGATCCCCCCCTGCGGACCCCCTCCGTGCCGTTCCGTGATTTTCCTCGTGTGGCATCAATAGAGATGGACCCCAGCCACCTGAAACTGCGTGCTTAAAGCCTTGTAGAGCGCACGATAAGTCTCGCCTCTACGCGTCTTACTTCGATCGGCTTTTAAACCGCTCAAAACGGACAATCTGTTTTTTTTTCGGTCCTTTGCTGGGGTAGGGTGTCGGAAAACGTTTTCTTGGGCGCCCTTCGGTGTGCGGCGAAACATTTTACATTGTTCATCCTGCCGTCGACGCCAATCGTTTGTCCCACACACACTGCTGGAGGGTTTGATCCCTCGACTCGCCGGCGGGTTGACAGTGAGTCCTCTCGAAAGCAATCAGTCACAGGACGGGACCGTGTGGACACAAATCCTCTGGACAGAAGAGAATGAGGGGCGGATTTGAGTTGTGACATGAGAGGGTCTCCCACACTTTCGGCGGTTTTGCTAACCCGCCCATGGGCAAGCCTATGGACAACCTACGCTAGGCACTTCGTGCGCAGCCCATGCACCGTCAGTGAGTGCCCTTCAGCCGGAAGCAGTGTACTCCTAAACAATACGTGGAGGTTATCTCTCTTGGTGATAAGCTTGCAGCGGTAGCGCGTCGGGCTGGACCGCTTTGGACAGCTTACCGCAGGTGCTCGCTGAGAAGCAAGACAACCTGCTGTATGCGAGAGGTGGACCACTGCCGAGTGCTGTTTCGCAACTCGGTGACCCTCATAACGTACAAGATGTTGTTGATGATGTCGTTGATACAGGCTGACCCCAGGGCCTGGTTTTGATTGAAGAATGATGAGAGAGAGAAGGAGAGAGAGCGAGAGAGTGAGCGAGAGAGAGCTAGAGCGAGCGAGCGAGCGAGCGAGCGAGAGAGAGAGAGAGAGAGAGAGAGAAAGAGGCGCGCGGGCCAGCTCTCGATCACTAGAAACAATAACAACAAAATCTACTGCTGTTGGAGACCCCGAACAGTCAACCGGCTGTCTTGGGGTTTCCCCAGAAAACTGTTCTGACCGTTTGCTGACAGTCCCGTGCGGGAACGTGAATCACACAGCATGTGGTCTCCACTCTACTGTAACTGCACTTCTACCGGTACCATTCTACAGCATAGTCTACACAGACCTAGGGTGCACACACAATGCTACGCCATACCTTGGGGTACGGCTTCTTTTGTCTATGTTTCCTGCAGCGAACACAGAAGGGATAGAACTTGGCTACCGTCCCCATGGACAGTTAATGAATAGCCCTTGCAATCCTTGCAATCCCTGCTTTGTTAAGAACGGGCATTATGACGGGTAAAAACCCAACGGTAACGCTAACCCTAACCCTAACCCTAACCCCAAGCCAACACGATACGTGCTAGGTTGATGTGCCGGTGGCGAAGTTAGGCCAAAGTGCCAACGGGCACTTCGTGGGCAGTTCATGGGCTGCCGATGGGCTCAGTCATGGGCAGCTCATGGGCCGTCCATGAAGTGCTCGGGCGGTTTATAACTTTGCAACACTGCCAATGGTGTGGGAGATTGTGACAAGATGGGGCGACCTTGCGCGGAGCTCGAAGGTGGGCACGCAGGCACAGCCTGTGGGACACGGGCCAGAGACGCCCCTGAGCTGGTGTGCTTAAGTTGCATGGCCAGGCAAAAGTCCCGTCGTTGAAGGCGGGGCGAAAACAGGATCCGCACGACGTACTCGTGCACATGATTTGCGTACTACTGTAGCACTCGCGTGCGCATACAAGACAGTCAAGGTCTCCCGGGAGGAAGCATATGCTCCACAGGGTACTCACCCTACACCTACCTCTATTAAGTATCCGAAGATTGAGTAACTCCCCCTCCCTGCAAAACTCTGCAGGGTCAAACAGCAAACAATCATATCGTGAAGATCATATCTTCTCTTGTTCCGCTGCTGCGGCGGGTAGGCGGTTGGCTAAAACACGCTACACAATGATTGGGAAAAACAAATACGAACACAGAAAGGCCACGCGTTCGAGATACAACAACAGTCGAAAGAGATGTGTCGGAGTCATTGCAATTAGTGGAGGGAAACCGGCTGCTGCAGGGGAGTGCGGTCATGCGGCGGAGTTGCAGCGAATGCGGCGGAATTATGGCCGTTTCGAAACTCCACTGCTGCTTTATGTATGTAGGTGGTTGTGGGGTTGCGTGGTTGTGCCATGTCGTGGCGTGCCGCATTGTTAAGATGAACAACATATCCACTATGCTACAAGTCAGCATGAAAAGCATATCCACTATGCTTGTGGCAGCGTGGATATGCTGTATACATCTTGACAAAAGTGCAACCGGGGTCCTTCAGCCAAAGCTGTTCGACCTCGGTAAACCCCAGGGTTGTAGTCTAATCCTTGTAATCAGCGCTGCCCCATGCGGTTCATCGACTTACAGGCGGGAATATGTGTCTTCACTTGGACGACTGGAATGTATACTGTCTCTCAGGCGTGTCGCAGACCTTTCCGGAAAAAAGGCGTCACAAGTGGTCCACGAAGGATTCGAACCCCGGTTGTACTTTTGTTAAAATACACAGCACATACATCCACGCTGCTACAAGTCAGCGCTGACTTGTAAGAGGGTAGACATGCTGTAGACTACATCTTAACACGCATAATCCCAGAAAAACATTGCTGCAACAGGTGTGTTTGAGACTTTGATTGGTTTATCGACCTTTGCTCGCAAGATGCATCAAAAGTGTGTGTGTTTCTTTATTACTAGCATCGACCGCGCTGACCGACTGACCGATGATAAGACGTCAGTCTCATAGCGGTTGAAAACACAAAACACTTTATCAGCCATGAACTGGGACCCCGTGAAGGGGCAGCGGGGGTGTACTCATAGTCGTGCATGCCGTAGTCGTTAGACCATTGACCTCGCATCCCTACAAAGCCGGGACGGAGCACGCCGGGTTCTCACCGGACCAAGCTCTCACATCACCAAGCGCGAAGCGCCGTGGGATATTCGGCGAGTCCCATGAAGGGTGCGCTGCATCCTGCGAAGGGTGTTCGGCATCTTGTGCTTACTTCCTTATATACGGATGACAGCTGCGTATGACTTAATTTACTTTCTGGTGCTTTCACTTCCAGAGACAGTTGTCGCACTGCGTAACTGCCTCGAGGGTGCTTGACCAATTAAGCGCAACGTGGTGCGATCATCTCCTCTGTGCAGAGTGAGGGTTCTCGACCCCGCACAACATAATCTACTCGACCACCATTCATGTTTACCCCCCCCCAAAAAAAAACGAAGGCAAAAAAAAAAAAGCGCGAGAGGTTGTAGTCTTATGTGCGCCGTCAACGTGTTGGCCTCATCGAACTCCTCGGCCTTGTTTGAATACTCAGATACGGCCATCCAGACGCGCTCGACTTGAAGATGATTCCAACGACGGTAATAATTACCTTCGCCTACATCATCCTAAGCCGGTATCATCCCTGGGCGCGGTACATAATTCAAGAGACAAGAGCACCAACGATCTTGGCGGGGGCTTCCGTTGTGCTGGAGGCCCTTCCTTAGTTTTTCGTATCCAAGTTTTGACTCACCAGGTGTGAGCGGTGTAGGAATCCGCGTGAAGACCTCAAACTCGTTCCGTTGTGGTTCGTCTTCTTGAAACG